TCCGTCGCAGGTCCCGCCCTAGCCCCGACTATGGCCGAGCTCGCAGCCCAGTCTATGATCGTTACAATGGACCTGCCTCATATGAGAGGGAGCCGAGTCCTGGTTATGGTCGCTACCGAAGGTAAGCAAAAATGTAAACCCAAGAAACCAAGTAGGTTTCTGCATTGTTGAATGTTTTTTTTTTTCTTTTTGCTCCCCACTCTTGGCATTCCAAAGAACAATATGTGGTAGGCTTAGTTGCGGATAGACCGCCTGTACTATTGCCCAATTGCTGATAGACTCGTGTAGTTCTATTGTTGTAGATAGAGCACTGAGCGAGTTTTTTTATTCTTTGAAATTTTTTATTTAACAAGAATTTCAAAGGTTAAATGAGTCAAGAGTCCAAAAACTGCCTTGCGATCTATCCACAGTTGGGCCATCATACAGGGTTCTATATGCAATTAACCCTATATGATATGGTTAATTGCCCAATTGCTTATAATAGACTCATGTAGTTCTATTGTTGCAGATAAAGTACTGAGCGAGTTTTTTTGTTCTTTGAAATTGTTTTATTTAACAAGAATTTCAAAGGTTAAATGAGTCAAGAGTTCAAAAACTGCCATGCGATCTATCCACAGTTGGTCCATCATACAGGGGTCTATATGCATTTAACCCTATATGATATGGTCTAGGAAGCTATGTGTCTATATGCAAATAACCCTATACAATATGACCTAGGAAGCAATGTAAGATTAGCCTGTACTATTGCCCAATTGCAGATAGATCCCCTCTAGTTATATTGTTGCACATAGACCACTGAGTGAGTTTTTTTTATTCTTTGACAATTCTTTATTTAACAAAGATCTCCAAAGGTTAAAAGAGTCGAAAAGCTGCCTTGCGATCTATCCACGGTTGGGCGATTGTACAGGGGTTTATATGCAATTAACCCTATATGATATGGCCTAGGAAGCTGTGTGTCTACATGCAAATAACCCTATACAATATGATATGGCCCAGGAAGCAGTGTAAGATTATTATCAACCTTGGTGAAATGAGGACTAGAGGTAATGAGATGATGTTTACTGGAGTGTTCTATGAATACTGATCAGTTTTGTTTCTTTGTTTCGTGGAGTATATACTTTTTTGACTGGAACATTCATTTCATGTACCAGTGATGAGGTTAGTTACTGACATTTTATTGATTTTTTGCTACCCTTTTTTTGGCAGCCGATCACCTGTTCGAAGGTCCAGGACTTGAAGCACGTGCAGGGGGATGATGGGATATGAAGTTTAGGCTTCGACATAAGGACCTTTGGCCTGTGTTTTTAGGTTGTAGAAGGGCAAAGACTTCCAGAAAAACTCCTAGTGACGTGTTTGGGTATGCCATGTAGAATTATTTTTATTTGAAGAACATTTTTTTACTTTTGCTTGTATGGTAGGTAATCTTTTTCAGCGACTAGTTTTTATGCACGTGTAATGCATGTGGTTAAATGTCAAAAGATTTATGGACTAATATTAAAAAAGGCCCTATTATATCTACTCAATCATCAAAAACTATTGACTCAACTGTAATATATTTCTTTGAGTATATGCATGTGAATGATCTTTTTATTGCTTTTTACGTAAGTTTGTTTCTCTACCTCATTTTGGTATATGCCGAAGAGAGAATAAGATACCCTTTTTGTTAAGAGATTCTATCCTATATATTTAATATTACATTAAACAATTTGAGACACTAAATAACTTTACATATAAAGGACCATGATTTCAAACCCATTTGAACAATTAGTTTATTTTTCAATAGATATAAGGTTTTCACATGAAGCAACTAATCTAGTATCTTTATAAAATAAAATATGGGTAAATAACAAGTTATCGATAGCGGATAGCGTCGCGTGGCTTTGAGGCATCCTTAAGGCTATTTTGGGCTATTGCGGTAAAACAGTGGTAAAAAACGTAAAATCAAATAGCGGTCTAATTTAGATATGTATAAATACTAAAAAAAGTTAAAGAAAAATCTAAGAAATCTAAAAGTACATATTAGATGATTTAAAGAGATTATAAACATGAAATAGACATGTAACCATCACGTAATACTGAAGATGATTGGAGGAGTCAAAAAGTCGTCGTCTTCGAGAAGAAGAGCTTAGCGGTGAGGACTGCCATTAGAGGAGCTCTTGGTGACGGAGGTGAGAGGAAGTATCAGGGTAGGTGCCAAAGGCTATGAGAGGTGATTGGAGTATGCTGAAAATCACAGGAGACGGTGGAATATAATGGTCAATGGTTGAGTTTAATTTTAAAAAAATAAGCCTCAAATCGCTTTTAAATAACAGTCAAAAAGCAAATTTTGAATGCAATCGTTCACTATTTACCATTATGATACTATTGGTCGTTTTTGCGAACAGACATATTCCGTAATATGTCACCGTTATTACGCGATAGCGTAGCGGGCGATAGCGTCGCGGGAATGGACCGTTAACGTTATTAGCGCCGCTATTACGGGGCTATTTACCACTATTTATAACAGTGATAATTAACCCCAAACAAGTTGATTATCTAACACTAAACCCTATTACCTTTTAAACTCTCATTAAACCCCCAAAAATACTTGGCAGAAATTTATCAAATTAAAACTGTTAGTTCACGTGTGTTTTAGAAACTAATTGCTCAAGAATGTTGTACATGTCTTCTGCTTGACCAAATAAAAAGAATCCAAATTAATGTGAATTGATATAAATTTTTCTAGAATTTTTGTTTAACAAGGTCAGTTGCTTGCCATGTTGTGTTGGAGAAGTTAATTGTTTAAGAATAATCTTATATATCTTTTGTCTGAACAAATGAAGGGAATTATAATGCTCCATCTTAGGATTATCAAATATTTGATTACAATTAGAATTTTTTTTAAGGTGATAAATGGATAATATGGGCCTTGGTCCATTTAGGAAATCAATAGGAGGTGTCATGCAAAACTAAAAGTATGAGGGGTTTAACTACAAAACTGCACTTGTAAGTTTGGCCGTTGCATGAGTGAAGTTTGGGTGAGTGATAGAGAGTATTGCATAAGATTGAAAACTTAATTATATATGTAGAATGGGAGAGCTTTATTTAAATGAAAGAGGGATTTAGCAAATATTATTTTTAGTTTTAAGAGTACAAGGACAAAAAACACAGGACTGAACAACGCTTCGATTTCAAGTAATCTAGGATATTTTTTACTATTTGCAATATTGGCCTATTTGTTGTCACAGTCAACATTTCAGACATGAGGGATAGCATTCAGAACGTCGCAAGAGATAAAGTCAGATTTCATATACACAGTCAACATTTCAGACATGAGGGATAGCATTCAGAACGTCGCAAGAGATAAAGTCAGATTTCATATAATAATTCATATGCAGTCAATTGACCATTCTCATTCAGAACGTCGCAAGAGATAAAGTCAGATTTCATATAATAATTCATATGCAGTCAATTGACCATTCGAAGAATGCTAAGCCTTTCTTCATAGTAATTTTTTTGCTTAAAACCAATGAATTTATACTATGATCAGCTAAACAATTTGATGTCTAAAATATCTGAAGCCTACATGAACTAAAAATATGCATTTTATTCTTAGGATAACAAAAATATTTTAAAATAAAAAAGGTTATTGTACACTTACGTACAACTAACCTAAAAAATCTAGAGTGTTGCCAGATTTAAATTACAACTATAGTATCCCATGCTGCAATATTGCTATGCTCCTATTATATTACATTACTCCAACATTGAACCAATATGAATCTGTGGGAAATTTTTTAATCTTTAAAGAAATTATTTATAATTTTTGTATTTTTTAGGAACCTATTTGTAGTTTTTGAATTTTTTAAGGAGGTAGCGTGTAATTTTTGAAAATTTGAAGAGTTGTTAGTAAGTTTTAGATTTTAAAGGCTTCATTTATAATTTCATATTTTACAGGGGGGTGTTTGTGATTTTTGCTTTTTTAGGTTTTGTAATTTTTCACAATTTTCAAGGGATAGTGTCCCATTTGTTTTTCATAGAAAAGTAAAAAGAGAATCAAGAATATTATTATTTGACTTTTAATAGGGGTAATTATATGTCACCCGACACTTTTAAGTACTTCCCAATACCCTGCTAGTTACATAATCATTTAACATCAAAAAAAAAAAAAAAATCACAAGCAACCAAAATATGTAAATAATGATTTTTTTTATTTATCACAGAGACGTTTCTTGTTCATATATAGTCTTGTATAGATGATGTTAAATTGGGGGTTTCTAGAAAAGTTTTTGGAAAGTTTAGGGGTTTTTATGGAAAATACCCATAAGTTTTAGGATGTTCTATGCAATTTACTCTTTGAAACTGAGAGGGAAATCTCTTTACTTGGCTTGTGTCATACATATAACACTATCCAGAATCAATATATAGGATTCAAAATATTCTTTTTAAATTTTTTAAACGCATATATTGGTTCTAGATGCATAAGATAATTGAATAATATACATGCGTATTGATTAAACAATCTAATCTAATCTAATAAGAAGAAAATAACAAATGCACATACTTGATGAAGGAGATGAAAGTGCTGTGAAAATTATTACAATTTCTTGATCTAAAAAAAAGATGAAACATACAAACATATAATATAATTAATTATCTTAAAATAATCTAATTTAATCTAATAAGAAAAAAATAACAAATGTACACACCTATTGAGGGAGACGAAAGTGCTATGGAAATAATTGTAATTTTTTGGATTATATATATTGGTACGTTATATTGCATGTGAAAGGATAACAATTATAAATAGAGTTCTATTTAGATAATAATATTCAACAAGCTTAATGAGAGCTTAATTAATTTGTTTGCATATATGTTCACAGGTGCAAGATGAACAATATATATAAGGGAAATTTTTTTATTAGAGATTAGTTAAATGGAAGTGGGATTAGATAATTGAGGTCTATGGATTAGTATTTGAATTTCAAGGGTATTTTTATCTACCAAAATATTTTCACGAACTTGTGCTTATACATATAACACTGTCCTCAATCAAGATATAGGATTAAAAAAAGACTTCTTAAAATTTTTTTAAACGCATATATTGGTTATATATGCATATGATAATTGAATAATATACATGCGTATTGATTAAACAATATAATTTAATCTAATAAGAAGAAAATAATAAAGACATGTACCTATTGAAAGGAGATAAAAGTGCTGTGAAAATTATTACAATTTCTTGATCTTAAAAAAGATGAAATATACAAACATATAATATAATTAATTACCTTAAAATAATCTAATATAACCTAATAAGAAGAAAATAACAAAGACACATACTTGTTGAAGGAGACAAATGTGCTAAGAAAATTATTGTAATTTCTTGGTTTATATATATTGGTACATTATGTTGCATGTAAAATGATAACAATTATAAAGAGAGTTCTATTTAAATAATAATATTCAACAAGCTTAATTAGGGCTTAATTAATTTGTTTGCATTTATGTTCACGGGTGCAAGATGAACAATATATATATAAGGTACGTGGTCTATTAAAGAATTCTATGATAATAGTAACTCTACCAACTCTGAAGGGTTAATATGCAAAAGTGGCTATAACAATTCAAAAATAAAAAAATAAAAAATCTCGTCAAAGTATGAGATAATTGAATAATATACATAATGAACAAATCCAACTCCTACTTGAAAGATAAAACAAATTCATAAAGACTATTAAAATTGAATTGATCTAAAATTCTCCTAGCATTAGGATTAAGTAAACATGAAAATAGCTAGATATGAAGGGAAATTGAATTGATCTAAAATTCTCCTAGCATTAGGATTAAGTAAACATGAAAATAGCTAGATATGAAGGGCTTACATGCAAAAGTGGAAGTAAACATGAAAATAGCTAGATATGAAGGGCTTACATGCAAAAGTGGCTACAACAGTTCAAAAAAAATCTCGCCAAAGTATGAGATAATTGAATAATATACAACAGTCAGTTAAACGTAAATATTGATGGGAAGTTAGTTAAAAGGAAGCGGGGTTAGATAATTTAGGTCTTAATATTTGAGTTTTAAGAGTATTTTTGTCTACCAAAAGATTTTCACGAACTCGTGCTTTTAAAGGGAGTATGATAGTGAAATATGAAAGGGTGATTCTTTCATGTTTCTTCTCGAGGTGAAGGGTGTGATTCTCTTCTGTTCCTTCTGTTTTGACGTTTCTCTGTTTTGTCTCTGTTACAGTGTATGATTCCCTCATTTTATCTATGTGAGCGTGTAATTCCTTATTTTTCTACTTTTTTTTTACAAAATTTCTTTAGCCTTCAAATTTTTTGAATCAATTGTTATCGGAGCAATACATTTGAAGGTGTAGAACTCGAGGGAGGAAGACCGTTCACTCATGGTGACCTCAATGTTTCCCACAATGTACCCTTGACTCAAAAGATCATCCCAGACTTGAGCATACCCTATTGAGCATGTTTGCTATATCTACACCCAAACAGTAACTTTGGGAGTTGGATTGCCGAAAATA